CACGCTATCACTGGGGTAGAAAACCCGGTGCCAGGAGTTATGATAGCGGTAATTCTAGGCTGGCTGGTACGGGCAATTGTTGAAGACGTCGATTGCAGCTTCTCCCCGGCGTCAGTCCAGCTGGTAAAAGCCTGTCTTAGAATTGTGCAAGTACCGACATTATACTGTGCACCCAATTTCCTCTATGCTTATTGCCAAGGTAGAAGTACGGGAGAAGGCCACGAAGAGACCCTGCAAAAAACCTTGGGCTATGGGCCCTATACAGTACTTGTACTGGACGACCTTCTCGCTCTCTTGAAGAGAACAAGCATGATTATCGCCTCTATTTATCTCCATAACCATTAGATTATATGCGAGATCTTTAAGCACACTAGCAATATACTTGCCAGTCTTAGGGACAGGTGATTGTTGATCATGGATTCATCCACTCTTCGGCACGCGGAGTTACTGATTTGGGCGTGTAAAAGATGCGATATGATACAGAGCCAAGCAAAGGATCTGGGTAATAAGAGCCCAACACAGCCACTCCCCGACTTGCAACAGAATCTGAGAATGTTTATTATATTGATCGAAGATGCAATTCGTAACCTCTATAATAATCCCGGTTCACCCAGACTATTCTGGCTTGCAGGGAAAGAGAATAATATCACCCACTTTTATTACTATATTTGGCAGCTTTACGTTAATGTATTACAGTTGCAGCTCTGGGGCTGGCCTGATTATACAGTGATAAACAAGGATGGTAAAGTTGATGGACTATCCCTAGCAGATTGTCCAGATGGTGCGAGAGAGAGTCCCTTAGATGTAGAAGTAATAACAGGATAACATTCAGGTATCCCAAGTTCCTGCAGTAGCCTCCTATAGTCTAAAGAAGGGGCTTGCTTTAATAGCATATATCCTGCTCTTATCTATAAATGCTTCCTCTATTTGCCTGAAGGAGGACTAAATATTCATAAGCTGCATAATTAGTTTTCAAAATACATATTAAAATTAACAAAGCCCGTGCTTAAGAGCTATATTAATAAAGCGCTCTCTGCTAACCCCGTAGGTACTAGACCTTGACTTGCTAGGTCCCATTAAACTAACTGTCTAGAATTTCACTATAGTTAACAAAAAACCAAATGGGTTATTATCGTGGTCTCTTACCAAAGAAAGAGAAGAAGGGGGAGTAAAATAAGAAGCTTGTTCAGTGCGAAAATGTCTGGAGAAAGAACATGTCATTTAATAAAATGGGTATATATATATTTTTGTATGATTCATTAAACCGTCTGTTTAACTAGCAATAATTAGCTGCTAGAGGGGCTTCAGTAAAAGCCATAAATTTAAAAATAATTAGTCCTAATAGACTATTAGTCCGGAACCGGGGCTAGTATATATAATAAGTGTGGCTGCTGCTTCCTGGATCACCCAAGCCTAACTGTCAAAAAGATTTAGAGTCAACTATCCTAATCTGTTAATACCATCATTCCCCTTTAATAAACGTCGTCTAATATGAACCATCTATTGCCCAAAATAGTACTGATGCCTTTTGTTCCTGGTCTATGGAGTTACTTACTACTTCTAGGTTCACCTTCCCCTTGGGACCACTTGGATCGCCATGTTACCACAAATCTACTATGTGATACCGATTTTAATCGCAATACTTGTATTATGGAAGCCCTTTTATAGAGCCTCCGTTCCTAATCTAACATTAACCAGTCTATGGGCTGGCAAAGTACTTGGTCGAATGTTCCAAGCCTTAGTAGAACATAAACAGGTATAAATTAGTAGCTGAGAGATTAAAAGAGGCTAAAATAGTTAGATTCTATTAAAGCTGCTCTGGGTCTATGATGGCCTTAGTTCTATATTAAAGTGGCTACTTCTATCCGTCTGTATCTTCTTAAGGCCCGTTCTGGCGGCCCACGCGGTGAATAAAACTAGGGTGCTGTTATATAAAAGCATATATAACAGTAAGTTGGCCCAGTACCTTGTAGCTAGAGCTAATATTACGGTAGACATCTCTGTGCTAGAAGAGATCTTGTTTTTACTATAGTTGGAATTAGCTATCCCTATCATCTTTATGTATCTAGAGAGGGAGATATAGGCTAAACTTGTAGTACAGCTTTAAACAGCAGCTATGAAACTTACTTTTAATTTGACTATTAATAGTGAGTTAGGGCCCTAAGGTCGGGACCCGAGTAGATTACTATCCGCGGCCACTAGCTTATAATCTGTATTTGCGTTGGCGGCCCTAAAGCTTGTTCCTTTGGTCCTTAGGCTAGCGCTGCTATGCTATAATACACTTAATTAGTTTGGGTGTAAGCCTTTTATAATAATATTAATCACGGCTTTCTTATGGGCTGTGGTATGGCAGGTGGCTGCGCGTGGAATTAACAGTCCTTAAAATAGATATATCGCCGTGAGAGACAGCCGCGACAGAATATTACGCGGACAAATATTTTTCTGAGAGTTGATTGTATTAAACAACAGATAGCTTGATAAACAAGCAAGACTATACTATATTAAAAATGAGAAGGATCACAAACAAAGCTATTTTAACCTATATATTATATGTCGGGAGCTTGTTCTTGACGCCATCACAGTATTCAGACAGGTGTTATGTCTATTTGCTATGAGCACGGAAGATATATTATTATTAATTAAACACTAGACAGACCTTCTTGCTTCCTTTAAGTCTATTTAGTATATAATAATAGCCTTTTGGATATTACTTAATGCAGAAATTATGTTAAATACTCTAGTAAATTCCACGCCTCGCAGTTTGTTAGGAGACTTTCTTGTATAATACCAAGGTAATATCTTGTTTAATAGCATATATTTTACTTATAAAGAAGGCGCCCCTGCTCTCGACAGCATAATCTTTGAAGTCCATCCAGGGCAGGCTGTGGCCATTATTAGTAAAAACGGCGCCGGAAAGACTACTATCCTGCGTCTTATTTCACAGCTTATAAAGCATAGCCGTGGTTATATCTAGATTGATGGGTATAATATAAGGGATCTAAATAAATGTTCAATCAGATTATATATTAGCTTTATACCGCAGGACCCGGGACTGGTTTACGGCTTATTAATCCGCGATAACCTGATATATGGTCTTGAAAACGACATGAATCTGGAAGATATTTAAGGCTTATATTAATAGCTTAGGCTTGATTAGCATATCTCCAGATTTCCAGCAGAATATAATACTCTTATCAGCCCCGGAGTCGACCTTTCCGGTGGGCAGAGGCAGCTTATTACCCTAGCCCGGGTCCTTTTATATTGACCCCCTATTTTGTTACTTGATGAACTTACTAGCCAGTTAGATAATAGGGCGCAGGATAGGGTCTAGTAGCTTTTAAAAGTAAAAAAAGTGACTATATTATTAACTACATATGTTTATCTCTTACCACATACTAGCAAATCTGATTTATCATACTACAGCCATTAACTATCTTTCTTAAGTAATATTAATAAAGTCCTTGTGCTGGAAAAGGATAAAATCATTAAAAAAGGGTCTTATAATATGCTTATAAGCAGTCAGACCTATTACTGAGATTTATTTTATAATAATAAATAATATAGGAGACTCTCAGATCTTCTTGTTATGGCCTATTCAGAACTTCTCATAAAGAGAACCTAAGGGAGAAAAACAGAGAAATGAAATCAATCAAGAAACCATATATAGTATAAGGGGATTTAATCAATTGTTCCAAGATCCCAAAAATATGTTACCTAGGGTATATCAGTAACTATTCTGTATTAATACTCCTCACACGTATCACACCCTCTCTTTTTCCTACTTAGTAACCTTGTGCTGCCCTTAATAATCTAAATCAAATGCTATTGTAAACACTTTCTACATACTTCCTACTCTAATTCTGGGTGAATAAATAGTGCGCTCGCCCGCGTTATATTAATTATAGCCCCAGTTTTCCATCATAAAGTTTAATACTGCCTTTTATATAGATCTTCCGCCCCTTAATTCTCACAGGTCGTGTAAAAGAATTATTAGCTTTTTTAGATCTATCAGCTTAAGAAAAGAGATATTAAGATTAGCTGTTACTGCCGGCTAGCAGCAGTCAGTTAAGTTCTGATTTAACAAAAACTATTAGATTCCCCCATGGGGCTCTCCCTAATAATAGCACATATCTTAAGCTATATCAAGCTCCATGTAATCTATTGCTTCCCTTTCCAGCTTATGAGTATTGAAGCTAGATTTGTAGCTATTTAATATATTATTCTGGGAAAGCCTAGGCTTTGGTAACTGAAAAGGTCTATTAACTTTAGTGCCTTCCTTTTAATAAGTGTGGGAAATAAGACCTACCGGTTGTGACTTGATTCTGGAGAGAGATATAACTTGAGAAAGTAAGGGGCGCGTATGTGATGGCTTCAAGGAGTAAGTCCCCAGAGTATCATAGAAGATGCTCCGAAAAAGGGTACATTAGAAGGACTATTCTATATTAAAGAGTCTAATGTTTTCTGTGGTAATAAGAACCGTGCCTACTAAAAACTAATTAAAAATACTTTTTATCTATTCTTAAATATTTCTTCCAGACAATTATGGCCACAGCTTTTTATTTAGGTGCGCCACGTAAACTAAACATTACTTTTTTATTAAACCTTCTTTTTACTCAGCACTCTATATATATTTGCTCGTGATACCAGCATTTATAGGACGAACAAGACCTAGCCGACAGAGGTTTTTGGGCTCTGTATACATGTAATACATGAAAGCTATAAATACTCCGATCAGATACTTCTAGTTTAGCCTAGATAATGAGTCTATAGGTATAATTCAAAGAGCCGAGATCTATCGCTTTAATTAACTACAGGAACACCCAGCCGTACCAGTGATTAATCTCTTATTAATAAAGATCAGGCGGCTATTAGTTTAATAGCAACTGGATTATTTAGTGACAGAGCTCTATAAAGCCAGCGGTCTATAAAAAGCCAAATGTCTCTTGAGGATTATAAGTTAATAGCCGTATAATCTGCGCGATAGTATACTTAAAGGCTTAGTACCACTGTCTCAGTAGCAAGTGCTCAGAGGAATTAGTCAGAATACGTGATTTAAAATCTATTTTGACCTGTTTAAACCAGCCACCCAGGCGCAGGTGTGCGAAGACTCTCTGATAAAGACTAGACTAATTTAACACACTATCCCATCCTATTCTAAGATGCACCACGTCCTATAAATCCTCTCCCATCTCCCACTGGCGTTCAAAATCAAACAGGGCGTAGAATTCGCAATTAGAAGGATGCTGATTAGGCTGGATTAAAGAAAGGTCAACCCCCATAATAAACATAGCTGGATATCTTTCGGCTACGTTAATAGCCCATATCCCCGTCCCACAGCCTAGATCCAGGACCCTGCCCTTCTCCGGGTGCGGAACGTGAATAAGGGCATCAGACCGTCTTGCTATAGAGAATACCTTATAAAAAAAATCAAGTAGGTCTTTCTCTTTCTCATCGCACGGCAAATAGAACCCTTTCCGGTGGGTAGGCTGTATCCGTTCACAATCGCTCCCGCGAAGCAGACATCGGGACACTCTGGGGTTACTCCACTGGCCATCTGAGCAAGCCAGTACAGCCCTACTAGCGCTGGTACATGGATAGCCACTTAGCAAAGTGTGGATACCAGGAAGCCGGAAACTTGGATTAATTTCTTTTCGACCAATTCCATGGTTACCGCGCCCTAGGTCTGCGCAGTTGCCACGATCAGCTGATTTTGTTGTTGATACATTGCACGTGATTCCCTTGATGCTCATTGCTTTGACTGGACTCAAGCGATTTTCATGCTGGTGTCGGCGTCCAGCTGTACTTTGCGGATCTTTCGAAGTCATTGGGTTTATTGTTGGATATTAAATTCTAGGACATATAAAATATCCTGCACTCGACTCGGATAATAAAAGGTAGGTAACAAACCGTAAAAGGCTGTTTCTGGTGAATTCAAGGAAAGGAATTGCCTAGGTATTGATGGAAGCAGGCGGTGAAGGACTGGATTCGATTGATCAAATGTATAACTGCCCGCAATACTGTACCCCGAGCAACCCTATCCTACAACCGGCATAGTTCGCGCCAATACGGACCTTGGTCTGTGTCTAGCAATGACACCGGCATCGCCCATTCTATGTTATCCTAGGCTAATCAAGAGCATCGTACATTTCATTGATCCAATAGGTTTGTCATATAGCACCGTAACTCAGACAGACCAGACCTAGAATAGCTTTACAGGGGTTTTCGAAATCTGATTCCCCCACGAGACACACAATTTCTTCCTCAGGTTCCGCCATCGGTCTAGACCTGGATCGTCGAACTTTAAAAAGCCTTATCCAGCCAATACTAGTAAGAGATCGAATGCGTATCCCTAATGGGAGTCGTATTATAAGGAGGACGGAGAAGAGCCATATCTAACGTGGAAGATTGCAGTTCGCGCTCAAGGGCGATTCGGCCCTTGAAGAGATCATCCGGGATGCTACCCACAAAATCGCATAGATTCAAGTACCTATAGCCTTCCGATAGATGAAACCCTTGGAATGGCCAACTTCCGTATCCAGATGACCGTTCGGGACCACGACGTATCCTGATAGCCAACAGTCGTTTCTCATTCAATCCATGTGTGGCTCGGGGATTCAGCTCGATGGCAGACGATGTAACAAGATTTTGTATATGTTCTGTATATCAACTTAAGTGAGTGAATTAGCAGTAAATCTTACCCTAGAATTGAGCATAATCTATAAGTCGACGTTGGCAATTCGGCTATTGCTCGCACCTAGAATACCTTTGGGGAAAAGCCTGCTCCTTGCTTTAATGGAAAGAAAAGTTGATCGCCGTTGTTTCTAGTCGTAACCACCCCGCAATCCTTTGCACCATTGCGCACTCTCCCTTCTGAAGTATCACCCATATAGAGATAGGTGTGCTCTGGAACATCTTTGGTCCCCTGTTCTCGGAAATCGCCACTGCATTAGTGTTGCAAAGAAGGATGATAGTCGGGCGTGTGGGATATCGTTGAGAATAGGAATCGGATGGAGGGATCATCAAAGTAACTCACTTCCTTTTCGTCTGACTTATATCCAATCCAATAATCCTTTAGCATTTTTGCAAGGCTAATGCCTTACCAGACCCGTCTGGTCCATCCCCGTCAATCATGGAGAAGATGCTATTCAGCTTACAGAAGTCTGCCCTGGGAGATTGAGGTGCCTAATTTCCGACACATTGGGGGGTTTATGGTATCCGCTCAGAGAATTACACGGCATGACATTGGATAATTGGTCCAGTTAGGAAGTCCCATGCTATCAAAAACCCCATTGGAACTAGGGATGAGGAACGACGGCCACTTCTCATCGAGGCAGTGGCCGGCCAAGGCTGCTGGCTCCAACCCAAGAACGCTGGTCAATTTTAAGGCACAAACTGTTCGTTGAGGATGTGATGAATTGTTAGTATCACTTGAGGACCGGTGTCAGGGTTGATCGGGAGTGGCAATCTATTGGCCGCAGTTAAAACTCCTCCACCATTCGACGTATCTTGTCCGGATACAAAACTTGGAGAACCGGGGTTGAACCAACTTCCAATTGATGATATCCAGGGAGAGCCTTCGTTGGCAGCGCTCACGCTTTGTTGCTGACCAGAGGGTTCATAATGATCGGCAGCAGTGTCCCCTTCCACAACGTGCTCGAGGGAATCAACCTGGCTGTCATGGTGGGGAGTATCTTCTCGTGGATACTGGTTTCCCTGTAACTGTGGAGTAGAAGTATCCTTTGGTCTTGTGGGCGTCTGCGAATTGTAACCCTCGCACAACAGCTGCTTTTTAACGCAGGTGTCGCCTTGACAGAAGCATTAGCACAGGCATCACGCCCATAATGCGATGCGGCAAGGTCCGCCATCTCAACAAAAAAATTAAAAAAAGCAAAAAGGAACATACATGTGAGAGACTGTCCGTCAAATACTCTGCTTCTGCGACGACACGTGATACAAATAGTTCCAGCTCTTGTTTCCTTAACTGGAGCCCTACGCTTCCGAGAACGTCTCACGCGGGCAGTGGTTTGCGCTGAAGAAAGAGATGCCGGCGACGGTTCTTGTTCATAGTGAACGGGTAATGCTGGATCGTCGCGAACCTTCGGTTGGCTTCCTCTACCCTCTGGTCGAGCTCCGGTTACTTCACAATCATTTTGAGTCAAACTCGCTGCATTTATGCCGAGAGGCAAACAATGCATATCAGCAGTAGCTGTATGGTCAGCTCGGTAACCATTTATTAGTGATCGGGCCTCGGGAGCTACTGCGGGTACAGTTAAATCATACACTCCCTGGACGTCTCTGTTAGATTTATTCCCCTCTTGAGTATTGGTAGGTTAGATTGACGGGAGGTCTCCTTGTGATAATCTGCCGTCTCTTATAATCTGCTCGGGGTTAAGAACAGCAGTACTTACTAGATAGAATTATTTTACCCCGGTCCCTAAAGCGCTAATAAAAGAGTAATCATCCTATAAAGCCCTTTTTATCGTGTCTGGAGGAGTTACTGGTTTGATATGTCTAGTTCGGTAGGATAATTTTATACACTATTTCTCAAGGGTTCCACTATTTAATGTTCCTGGACTCCTGAGACTTCTAAGAGATATTAAAAAGGAAGTAAAAGGCCTGGGGCCTGAATCGGATGTTAGTAAAAGTAAATCAATACAGTCGGGTATTATAACACGAGCGGGTTTATTGGCCATTAATAATAGAAAATCACTAGATTGGAGCCTCTGTTTTAAACCTATATAACACTTTCTATGCTCTCTTCTTGCCCAATAGTATACGGCTATAATCGCACCATGGGTTTAAAATCTACCGAAGTCCTTCGTAAATCTAGCCTCAATTTAATTGTTCTTTAAACGCTTGTGAGCTTAGAACCACCGGGATAAATAATTTAGTTCCTCCGGCTTTTATAGTAATATTACAGAAGGTGCTACTAAAAAATATTAGTCTATTTATATAATTAAGATGTTCGCAAATCCTGACTCACGCTTGCGATTTCTGACTTTTTTTAGTATTATTAATTCTGGAGGCTCAGTCATCTATAGATCTACATGATTCGATTTATCATATATCCAAGTGTCTTGGGAGTGGCCGCTACTAATATACTTAATAGTTTTAAGCCTTTGGTTTATTTTTTCCCGGCATTTATTATTTAAGCCGATGACTAGACCCAAGTCAATACATACAGATAAAAGCATGGGGGTATAGAATAGCAAGAGAACAATAATTTAAGAGGATACTTACCCTGTGAGGCAACTTTATTTAAATTCAATAATAACCCCCTGACTGACTGCATCGTCTCTTCCTCTGACTTTATATCGCGCGGGTATAAGCATGGATCAATAAGTTTTTAAGAAAGGCCGGACTCGATAAAGTTGTGGTCTAATTCTGACACCCGAATTAATCTACTGCGTCCATTAAGCTGTAAATAATAACAGCCATCTTCTTGTCGCCCTGGATTATAAGAAGGTGCGAGGACAACATCGAGCCAGCAAATAGTATTATCAACCTTCCCTTCATCGTCTTTCATAAGTTGAAGTTTGTCAAATAATGGGTCAATCTTCCTAGCTATAGAGTTACTAGCAAGAGGAACACCAAAATAATATATAAGGCTATTATCACCCTCAATAACAGTTACAAGTGACCGCGACAGCTCGAGGGTTAATTCTAACCTTTACTGTATAAGAGAAAATATAGTACAAACTGTTATAGTATAATCCGCAAGGGCTGAACTGTAATCAACTCCTAGGTCTTTTTCTTAAGAACAGGAATCTATTATTAAAAAAATATAATTCCTAGTAAAACAAGGAGAATAGTAAGTCGGCTAGAAGAAGGTTAAGGATAATAAAAATTAAACCAGCTACTAAACACTAGCATAAACTAGAGGTTTTTAAAACCTCGGATCAGCAACACTAATAAAAAGTCTTATAAAGTAGTCCTGAGTGGGTCACCAAATCTAGAGAAGGCGATTTATTTAATCTATTATATTTCCTACTTTTGTTTCCAGGGAGATAAATTGAATATTTAATTAATTAAATAGGCAAGATTATCTGTATAGTTATTTTGCTTAGCACTTGATACCAACTTTTGTTAGGTACTAAGAAATCTATAAATATAGTTTTAACATATATTTCACTTTTATTTACATAAGAAGAAGCCTGTACACAATTCCTCTCTTTAAGACTTATATAATGCCCTTATGTGTAACTAATATAAGGTAATAGGTTAAATAAAAGCTGCTAGAGGAATAATTAATTTTTATTCGGATATGTTCGAGATTTGGGATAAACTTAAAAATTATACCCCCTGGTTAACTACCCGAAAAGGGTTAGTGGTCCTGCCTCCCTGGTTCCAGGACGAGAAAACTAAAAATAGTAGAAAGCATAATCAGCGAGTATCTTCTCTCCTGCTTTATCCGGTCTTTTTCTGTATTTAGCCACATACAAGCCATATTACATGCTAAATATTCAATATAATAGTATAGACTCTTTACTGGTCACGGGTTAAGATAAAAAACTTAGCAGCCTATTAGTAACAGCTCCTCGGTGTGCAGACCAGTTAATATAGGAATTAAAATAGAGTAAATTAAGTAAAATCAAGGGGTGTTTATAAATAATAATAATTGGTATTTTTATAAGGGTCTGGCCGTGCCAGTAATTTAAAGGGGGAGTACCCGGGTAAAAATAGCAGCAGAGTAGGCTAGCTCCGGCTGTGAACTATAAAAACTAAGTTATTTGTTAATAACACGGCCATGGCATAAAAGAATAAAGATACCACGATTTCTGTTTAACCAAGATTATAAGGGTTGGGGATAGAAGGAAATACCCAGGTATTTTTAACAAATTCAGATAGGTCTTCTTTTTATAAGGTCGGGTATTTCTCTGCTCTAGATTATTTATACTAGTTCTATTTTAGCTTTTTTTTTACTAAGGGCATTTGTAACACTGATAAGAAAAGATCAAACACAGTATCCAGTAGTTAAAGGAAGAATATGAAAATAACAAGTGGATAATAAGTCATTTTAAATACCCGAGTAAATCACGCACAGGTACCATTAACCACTATAACCTTAGGCAATTACTTAAGTAAAGTAGAATAAGGCTAGGGAAAGAGGATCATCAGAAATACTGTTGTTTTTAGTTATTTTTAACAGCAGAATATACCACTGGTATATAGCTGTAACTGTAAACTTTACGTACGCGGCTTGGCGGCTCGATGGGAATCTGTCAAATATCTAGAATATAATGGATTTGTTTCTGGTTCTTTTTAAAGAGATTATAAATGACCGGCTGATATCTAGATCCAGCTAAAAGGGGTAAGTTAAAATAAGTTACCGGGACATAATAATGCCCGGGTAAGTCGCGTCTGTTTATGTAGCGTTATATATAAAATACCTTAATAGTCAGGACAGACTAACGCGAATAACCACTTCTAGTATAAGAAAAACCAGGTAATATATTGGAAAAAGATAAAGCTCCTAGCCATAAAGGGGAATTTATCAGCTGTCTATTATTTAACCGGTACTTTTAGTAACAAGAGTAGTAGATATATTTGCAGGATCTGGATAAAGGGATCATGAATATTTATTCTAGATGACAAGCTTGCTAGTGTTATAGTTCAGAGGAAGATTAATTATTATTATTTATATCTGAAAACTTAAGGGTTTATATATAAGGCGAATATCAGATTAATTAGAAATCAATCTAATTTAATCCGGAATAAACTCTATATACGAAGCTCTATTATCTACCAGATTGAGCTTCGATTTATAACAGCTAGGTTTTTAGTACTATATACTTTAAGAGATGTATAAGAACGCAAATTCTATAGAAGGGAAGGGAAGTTCTTACTGCTGGTTAGTTTAGAGCAGTTATATTCGCGAGGGTTCCTGGCAAGAGAGCCCGTGGAGCCCTTACTATACCGCAACTATAGTTTAGGATAGTCATACTATTACCCATATCTAATTATTTTATTTTCTGGTTACCCCGGATGGTTCTATCTCCTGGATATCCCAATCGTCTCCAACCCCTTGATAAGGACTAGCATATAACAGATGTACTTAGCATATATTTTTAATATTAAACTCTTCCTGGTGCTATATAAAGTACCAGCCGAGCTCACGATATGTGGATAAGGCAGATACTAAATATACAAGCCTTATTTGTTAACTCGTGATTTGTATTCTCTAGCTTTATCCCTTCTTATTACCAACTTGACCAAAACCTCACTTATAATAAGATATTATATTATTATAATAAGCAGCAGCTTTCTTTTTGTCGCTCTTTCTTCTGCGGGCGGATTTTCTAGAACCTATAATCAGTTAAAGCTTAAAAATCAGTATTATGTTGTTACAAGCTGCAGTAGAACAAATAGTACTGTGGCCAAAAGTAACTTAGATCTGAATTCCTGCTATCGTAATCATAATAGGACCCTTATATTTGAACGAGAGTCAGTCTACCCTAAATATAAAAGTCCTAGCTAATAATTCTTAGTAATAACATGGGGAGGTTTTGCCCATCCTATAGCGTCCATAGAAGTTGGCTATCTTGTGGTTGTCTGACTGACGCGGGTGATATTAACTACCCCAACATTAATATAGGTAGGTAGAATCTTAAATCTATCTGCCTTTTATGTTTCCTGACCCTTTTTTTAGATCTGGCTATTTCTAACTTGGATAATAATTTGGCGTGTTAGCTCTTTTAAGATCTCTATTAATCCATTGAATAATCGGTCTATTAGGGAATTAAAAAAGAAATACCTGTTTGTTATATAGAGATGTCGTCATCCTACCCTTTATTCTTTTTGTCCTTTTTTTTGACCTTTAAATCATCTATCTAAGAACTCTGCTTGATTAACTAGTTGTTCTTTATTATCGTTAACTACTCCCTTCTTCAAATAATTCACCGCGTTATTTCCTAGTTTATTTTAATATCGTAAGACCTATTAAAGGCGGATAGGTATATACCGTGTCTAAATCTTGCTTACCGCGAGGAGGATGGCCTAGATAATTTGCTGTCCTAATCAATTTCGCGTGTTTAAAATTGCAATGGCTGTACCTCGCTGCAGTCG